ACGGAGCCGGGCACGGAGCGGCCGCCTGGGCGGCACAGCTCCCGCCTCAGCAAGCGCCTCAAGCCACTCAAGGTCCGGAGAATCAAGTCGGAGAAGCTGCACCTGAAGGACATCAGGTTAAACCTGGCGCAGGGGAACAGCACTGCCCCTGTCACGATAGAGCCGCTCACCCCCCCGCCCAGGTACGAGGACATCCAAGAGAAAGTGCCAGGGAGCCAGCAAATGACTTAAAAACCCACCCAAACAAGCAGGAACCTGTGATGATGCTGGGATTTTGGGGGTTTGGGATTTTTTAAAGCACCCACACTTAAGAGGGGCTCGGTTTGTGGGTGCAGAAGTGGTCAGGGCTCCCTGGAAGCTGCAATGTGGAGAACACAATAGGTGCACAGCACTGCAGCACAGGGACAGGATGAGTTTTCCCTCTTTACAAAAGACTATGGAGAAAGAAGCCTGGATGCCAGTGGGTCTGGTGCTGTGAAGTAAATGAAGGCTGCAAGTACCAAAAGTATAATTTGTGGTGTTACTACATAAGGAGCACCCAATGTGATTCTGCTCTGGATTCCTCATCCAGGAAAGACATGGACCTGTTGGAGGGGGTCTAGAGGAGGCCACAGAAATGATCAGAGGAATGGAGCACCTCTGCTGTGAGGAATGGCTGAGAGAGTTGGGCTTGTTCAGCCTGGAGGAGAGAAGACTATGGAAAGACCTTATTGCAGCTTTTCAGTTCTTAAAAGGGGCCTATAAGAAACATGAGGAGAGACTTTCTAGCAGAGTCTGTTGCGACAGGACAAGGGGTGATGGGTTTAAACTACAAGAGGGAGATTCAGGCTGGATATGAGGAAGAAATCTTTTACAATGAGGGTGGTGAAACACTGGCACAGGCTGCCCAGGGAGGTGGTGGATGCCCCATCCCTGGAGACATTCCAGGCCAGGCTGGATGTGGTTCTGGGCAGCCTGACCTAGAGGAAGACGTCCCTGCTCATTGCAGGTGGTTGGACTGGATGAGCTTTGAAGGTCCCTTCAAACCATTCTGTGATTGTATTCTATGATGTACCTTTTCACCTCCTTTTCTCCTTACACCCAGCAAGATGTTTCCAAGCCACCAAACTGATACTGAACAAGGATTTTCCAAATGAATAAGGAAAACATTCCTTTTCTTCTTGTTTTTGGTGTCTTTTCTGTCTGAGTAAGGGAAACTGTGTTGCCAGAGTTCACTGCAGCTTCCCCCAGTCTGGGGCTGGGATGGTGGCCCGGAGCCAGCCCCAGCTCTTGCCAGGTCTGTGCTTGCCTGTGGGAGCTCAGAAACAGGCGCTGTGCTCCTCGGGAGGGGATGGATTTCTTGCTTTGGTTGCTCTCTCTGTTGTGTTTGTGTTCTGATTCAAAGGGGTGTTTGGAGGATGGAGCCAGGGGTTGGGAGCTGAGTGCGCAGCCTCCAGGAGGTGCGCAGGGTGCAATGACTGCTGAGCATCCTGAGCAGACCTGCTCTAAATAAACACTTTGTACCTTGTGTTTGTGTGTGTTACGCTCTCGTGCGTGGCTATGGCCCTCCCCACACTTTGCAAGTGGTCCAAAGCGTTTCAGAGTGGATCCTGCTCCATGGGTACCCCGGCCACGTGCTGCATCCTGGGCTTCCAGCAAAGTGATCCATGAGGAAGTCATCAGCGTGTTCAGCCACAGGCTCCCTCATATGGTCTGAATGTTGGTGGTGTGGGTAGAAAACAGGATCTCCCAAGGATGTGTAGCTGATGTTGGTGTAGCCAATCTGCTCTGCCTCTCGGCTGCTGGTACCACGTGGCTTTGTTGGGGTGATGCTGATGTTGATGTAGTTATGGATTGTACAGCAGAGCTTGACTTGGCAGTGTGATTGACCAGAACGAAGACAAAGGGGAATCGCTGGCCCAAACCCATTTAGCAGTTTCATTAGTTGTTATTTCACATTGCATCTCTGAATTTCGGTTGTTGTGTGGCAGGAATTGCACTTGCCTGTTCCCCAAGGCGCGATCTCAGACAGGCACAAGAATATTATTGACCAAGGGACTGCCTTACTGAAGAGAAGGAAACAAACAGCAGAATGTAACCCGGATTGAGGGAGTGGAAGGTGTCCCTGCCCATGGCAGGGGGTTGGAACTGGATGAGCTTTAGGGACCATTCCTACTCAAGCCATTCTCTGATTCTGTGATTTGGGGTCAAGGACATCTCCATGTTGTCCTTGTTGAGAGGTTGCAAAGGTGGTGCAGCTCCTTGGAAGTTATCTCCCAGGCACATGTGCCCCTAAGAGCCTATTCCTAGTGGGAAGCAAGGCATGAAGTCTTCTCTCCTTAGTGAAGAAATGCAACCCTAACTGTTGTCTTAGGAAATCTGGGTTAATAAAGTGAAGCCTCTTATCTGAGTCATTGGTTTCATCAAGCTTCTTGCCAGAAAGTCCTGTTGAATGAAACTGACTGGCACAAGCAGCATCTTTCCCAATGTCTCGTGTAGGAAAAGAGGTGGAAAACTGGCGTGAAGTGCAGTGACTGCAGTGAAACAGGCTGTGACTAATGCAGTCATTATGCCAAAAATGCCCAAATGGCTAATGAGCATCTCCTGCTACTTGCATACTTGTCCTTTGATGGTATTTGGAAAGCAGAGGGAGGATGTGGGATGCTGAGGAGTGTGAGTGCTCCCAAAGCTGTGACCATCGCTGTCCTTGGATGGCTTATCCCTATGGCACTGTAATATATTGTAAGGGAATGGTTATTCCTGAAGGTGAGTGTGATGGAGGGAAAATGTCCTACAGCAGATGCACCTAACCCTGGCTTCAGGCTGTTGTTCCCAGGTAAGACACGTGCTGGTAGGTGAGAAATGGATGTGCTTCCCTGTGCGGTGTGTAAGGTTGCACATAGATCTTGGATCAGTATCTCTGGAAGGTAACTCATGTTCCATGTCAACCCACAGGATGTGCAGACCTGGTATTAATGCAACTGAGGAAGCACACAGTGTTATGCTCCAGCTGGACTGGGGCTGGAAAACCTCAGCTGCTCTATTGAAGTCAAAGCACTTGGAAGGAGATGAAGGGATAAAAACGCTGGCAGTGGGAGCCAGCACTGGGGCATGTGCTCAAGTACCACGCTGGTTTGCAGAGTTCTTCGTAAAACCTGCTGCTTCTGCCTCAAAATGAAGAAGGATCGAATCTTACAGGACTCACTCCTGTTGTCCTGTACGAGTTTTGTGTGCAGGTCCCCTTTGTGCCTGAGATTCCAAGACCTGCTATGTATGCATGCACAGGAACCATGGACTGGTTTGGGTTGGAAGGGACCCGAAAGCTCATCCAGTTCCAACCCCCTGCCACAGGCAGGGACCCCTTCCACTGGAGCAGGTTGCTCCAAGCCCCCGTGTCCAACCTGGCAATTAATAACTAATAAATAAACCAGGGATGGGGGAATAACAATGTCCTGGCAGGCTGCACACCCCCAGGAGGTGTGTCAGTGGGAGCGTTCCTGCGTGTGCCACGGGCCAGCAGGGAACGCCGGCGCGGGGCTGTGTTGTGCTGCTGGGTCAGTTGCTTGGGAAAAGGAGGAGTAAAGAAACCACCTCAACCAAAACAAAGAGAACACTCTCCCAGGAAGCAGCGGGCTCCGGCGCGGCTGAGGCTTCCAAGGCTACTGCGAGGCTCTGGCCAGCCGGAGCAGAGCTGCCTTTGGGGTGATTCTGTGTGATTTCTAGTGTACGAGTTGGTCAGAGGTTCTGTGTTGGATGGGGGATTGCTGAAGGAGTAGCTGTTTTTCGTGCAAGGTGGAGGGCTGGATGATGCGAGCCTTCCTAAGGAGCTCAGAGGAGTGTTTTCAGCTGAAACCACACACCACGACCATCGGCCGGCACCAAGGGTCTGACATCGTCCTGCAGGTAGGAGTGAGGAAGCTGAGTGGTGTAAATGGGTGGTGGTTTGGAAGTAGGGAGCAGGATGCCCATGGCAGGGGGTTGGAACTGGATGATTTAAGGTCCTTTCCAACACAAACCATTCTATGATTGCATGATTCTATGCACTGGGGTCACCAGCGCACACCATAGGAGTTTCTAGCCAGCCTATGCTGGATGTCCAGCAAGAAGAGGGGACCTTGCAAACCAGCAGCCAAAGCAGAGCTGCATTCTGGCAAGTTTCTCTGCTTGTCTCTTGGTTGCCAGTCCGCAGGAGTAGCTGAGCATCACGCAGCCCTCGAATTCACTGCCTCGGACAACAGCTTCTGCCTTCAGGACCTCAACTCCCCTCACGGCACCTTCATCAACGGCTGCCAGGTCCAAAACGCGGCCGTCAGAGTGAGTCCAGGCGATGTCCTGCGCTTTGGCAAAGGGGGAGCAGCCTTCGAGCTGGTGGTGGATGGGGCTGCCCAGGTAAGGATGGGTGCTGCTGCCCAGGGAGGGGGTCCAGGGAGCAGGAGCAGGCTCCCAGGTGCGTCTGGGTGATTGATTCATCAGGGACTGGAGTGACAGGATAAGGGGTGATGGGTTCAAACTGGAACAGGGGAAGTTCGGGTTTGATAAGGCAGAAACTCTTCCCTGTGAGGGTGCTGAGGCGCTGGCACAGGGTGCCCAGAGAAGCTGTGGCTGCCCCATCCCTGGCAGTGTTCAAGGCCAGGTTGGACACAGGGGCTTGGAGCAACCTGCTCTAGTGGAAGGTGTCCCTGCCCGTGGCAGGGGCTGGAACTGGAGGAGCTTTAAGGTCCCTTCGACGCAAACCACTCCATGATTCTATGATCCTTGGGAAAAGATGGAAGAGGAGGAATGAAAAGCTTGAGCTCCCTCTGCTGAAAAACTCGGGCAGTTTAGCAGGAAAAAGGAAAAGCAAGGGAGAGGATTCCCGACAGGAAGTTGGACATGAGCAAGCGTAGGTCTGGAAAATGCCTTTTTTACTCTATTTGCATTTTACGTCTCTTCAAAAACTACACGCTGACAGAGAAGGCGAGTTTTGGATCAAGTCTTTAGAGCAAGTGAAAAGGTCCAGCCCCGATGGGTGCTCCGCTTGGCAGCAGCGTGTGTAACTGGAGCTGTTGTGGTCTGGGCAGCAGTGCCAGGGCATCACAGCAACTTTCCCATGCAAGAGAAATGCGAAGCAGCTATCGGCTGGGAGAGGATGTGGTCGAACGCAGCAGCAGTTTCCAGTCTCCAGGAAAATAACTGGTTAGGGATGTCTGTGCAGGTTGTTGAGCCTTTGGGTTATGAAGCAGTTAAGGACTGGTGAGTACCGGTGTTGGTTTTGTTATCGGGGCTCTTGAGGAATGTGAGAAAATAGATCCTGAGACAGAAACCGAGATTACGTGTGTGTGACGTGCCTGCTAGTGGGGAGTCTGTAGAGCCTGGTGTCCCAGCAGAGAAAACTCACTTGGAGCCAGTTTGTGCATCCAGATATAGGGGTTTGGAGGTCTCGGCAAGAATCCCAGCACAGCAAACAGACCTGCTGACCCCGGGGCTGTCCAAGAGAAGAGCAGAAGATACCGAGCTGCAGGATGAGCCAGAGCAGTGGGGTGCCACTGGCTGGGTAAAGCTGGTTTGTGCTGGCGCAGCGAGCACTTCAGTTTCTGACAATGTATGTGCAGGATGCACACACACAAGTAGTTTTGAATGGTGACACAGAGGAAGCCCTGGGGGTGCCTCTGCATTGCTCTGGGCTTTGTGATCTTCCTCTGGTGGAATAGCTTTGAAGCCTGACCCTGCTGACTGCAGAGTACATCACCTGAGCATTGCACCCTGTGAAGTTTGTGGTTCTAACACAGGGAGGTCTCTCTCATTTTCAGTAGTATTAGAGGAACATGTTGTAAAGATGAGCATCATCCAGCAAGGAGTCACATCCCTGCGGTGTCCTGGAGCATGGAACGAGTGCCCACAGAGACACTGCAGCTGCTGGAGTAGTGGGAGAAGAGCTGGGTGATGGAATCCTGCCTCCAGGCCAGGTCCAAGGCCATGTTTAGCCTTTATAATTGAGGGCTACATGTAAGGCAATGTACGAGACCTCTGCTCATGAGGACAGCAAATAGCAGTGTGCAAGGCCCTGCATCAAGGCTGATAAAAGCAATGGCAAGGCAGGAGTGCCACGAGAGGCTTTAGTTCAGCACAGAAAATGGGAGAAATGGCAAGGTAGGACCACTTGGGTGTTTGTGTGTGAGCCAGGAGAGGTGTGGGATGAGGGCTTCCAGGTTTTGCAAATGATGTGAAGAATTATGGTTGTCAAATCAAGAGAGGGAGGGAAGAGCTCCAAAAGCAGCAAACCCCAGTAATTCCTTCGTGTTCCAGCAAAGCATTTGGGCTTCCTGGGTTAAATCTGATCCGTGGGTGATGGAAATGGGAAAGGACTAAAATTCCGCTTCCACTCAGACCTGTGCCGGGGTTTTGGGCTAAAAACCTCACAGACCCTTGCTGATAACACAGTCTTTTTCCACCATAGGTGTCCAATCTCCCCATGATGCGTCGCACAGGGTGGACTGGGCAGCTCCAGGTGGTTGCAGAGCCCAAACCGTTGACTCCTGCATCTCCTGCCCACGTCCCCTTGCTGCAGTGGCAGCATTCCCCTGGCTCTCCAGGCAGATGGGCTCCTGGAGCCACCGGCCACATGTCCCATCCTCTGCTGTGGAAGCGACCCAGGAGCGCCTGGGCTCGGAGCATGGCCACCACCGTCTCGCTGGATGCTTTCAGCAGGCCCTCGGCAGTGAGGCCAGGTACTGCCCGATGCCACCATGGTGGTTTGTAGCCTCGTGTCCTCTCTGAGCAGCTTAACCTTGAGTGGAGTTGATGTGAGCGGTGGCAGCTGGGATCTGAGCTGGGAAGTGACGAGCACTGCCAGCCACTGGGTGTGAGTCCTTGTCCCGCGGAGATCCGTGATGTGGTCCTCGGTGGCATTTGGGTCGGTAAAGCAGTGAGCTGTGACATGCAAGGGGGAATGCCATCGCCCTGCAGCTGAGAGGGACTTGTCCTCTTCCTTTTTCCTCATGTGTGATGACTAACTCTGTCTGCACTGGTGATTCATGCACCTATTTCTGTCTCCTGATTGAAGTGGTGTTCTTTCCTCCTTTGAGGAGCAGTTTCTGGCTGTCCTGAGTGCTGGAGCTTTAAACTAGGTCTGCAGCTGAGATGCTTCTGAAAATAAAGTATGCAAGAGTGACAGAGCAAAGACAGGGCTTGGGGGAATAGTACAGCTGGAGAACAAGGCTTGTGCCACACACGAAGCTTGTTATGGACTGATACAGAGTCCAGTGGTTTTCCTGGTTTAGGGTTGAGTCTTTCAAACAGTCATAAGTAATACAAGAAGTCTGCAAAAAAGCTGGAGAGGGGCTTTGGACAAGGGATGTAGGGACAGGACAAGGGGAATGGCTTGAACCTGCCAGAGGGGAGATTGAGATGAGCTCTGGGGCAGAAGCTCTTCCCTGTGAGGGTGCTGAGGCGCTGGCACAGGGTGCCCAGAGAAGCTGTGGCTGCCCCATCCCTGGCAGTGTTCAAGGCCAGCTTGGACACAGGGGCTTGGAGCAACCTGCTCTAGTGGAAGGTGTCCCTGCCCATGGCAGGGGTTGGGACTGGAGGAGCTTTAACTGCCTTCTGAGCCAAACCAGTCTGGGATTCTGCACATACAAAGTCAGCTGTGATATGTTGAAGTACCACTGATGCTCCAGAGCACTGTGCAGTGCCAGCAGCACCACCGAAAGGTGTGTGCACAGGCAGAACCTGCAGTGAAGGTAAAGGGATGAAGCTGCTGCCTTTGAGGCATTTTTGGTTCCCAAAGGTGTATTATTCCTCTCTACTGTGCAGACTGTTTGCATTCTAAGTGTCTTTTTAGTGCCAAATAGTTGGTTCCTCTGCTGGTTGTGATGCAAGACTGTGAAGTAGCTGCTGCCTTACAGTAGTTTTGAGACTAGTGAGAGGGATGTTACAAGAAGCATGACTGCTGCCTGCTCATGCTGATGTTTGCTGCCATCACATTTGCTCTTTTCTAGTCTCGACCAGTGTCTTGAATGATGATGTGAGTGGTGTGGGGAGATCCCCTTCCCTCAGGACTCGGCATGCAGAAGAAAAGGAGAAGGTGATGCTGGGGAAGGTGTGGGGGATGCCCACCCTGTCCTGGTCCTTGGCAGAGCCTTGCCTTATGGTTGTATGTCCAACTGCAAGTCCCTGCAGGGTGCAGAGTCTGCTCCCCTGGATGGGGTGGATGGAGGATGTGGGCACAGCCAGGGTGAGCAGGTCCCATGTGGTTGGTGGCCAGGAGCTGGTCCCCCTGGTGTCGTGGTAGCTCCAGGCTGGCAGATGGCACCCTTAATCAACCCACAGGGCGAGAAGGAGGAAATGGGTCACCTCTCTGGTTTGGAAACAGCATCGAAGCAGAAAGATGCAGCGATAAGAGATCTGCAGGAGGAGATTGCAGTGATGGCAAAGACCTTGGCTCAGGTGGCAGCGAGGAATGAGGTGGAGCTGACCCAGAAGCTGCTCGCCTTTGACCAAGAGCTGGAAGCCAAAGCAGAGCTGATCAGAGCCTTGAGGGAACAGGTACTGAATGCTTCCATAGGCAGCGAGTGGGGCAAACACCTCTCTGGTACAGGTAGGTTCACAGATTAACAGCCAGGTTGTCAGAGGAGCAGGTCACATCTCATGAAGCAGGGAAATTAGGGAGGGTTTTTTTCTTCCAGCTGTTTTGTTTTGCACATTTGCTTCTCTGTGCAAAGAAGCTGTAAATCAATTTCCCCTGTACATGGTAGGATCTGTAATGCTGCAGAGGGTAGGGAAACAGCACCTTAACCAGCCTTTGGTAGGGGACACGCACACACAACCACCTCTGGCCATACCAGGTCCAAAAGAGGTGGTGAAATACTTTGTGCTTGTCCTGACGCCCTGTTGTGTGCAGAGGGGAGGGAAACAGCACCTTAACCAGCCTTTGGTGGGGGACACGCACACACAACCACCTCAGGCCATACCAGCTCCAAAAGAGGTGGTGACATACTTTGTGCTTGTCCTGACGCCCTGTTGTGAAGAGGAGCTTTTGCTAAAAGCAGGGTCCTGGTGGAGAAAAGGCAATGGAATTTTGGGTGCTGTTGGCATCACTGCTGTGGAGGGAAACAGCACCTTAACCAGCCTTTGGTGGGGGACACGCACACACAACCACCTCAGGCCATACCAGCTCCAAAAGAGGTGGTGACATACTTTGTGCTTGTCCTGACGCCCTGTTGTGAAGAGGAGCTTTTGCTAAAAGCAGGGTCCTGGTGGAGAAAAGGCAATGGAATTTTGGGTGCTGTTGGCATCACTGCTGTGGCTGCACCAAGGTAAGATGATGTGCGGCGCCTGTCTTGCCGGCAGCTGCCCTTTCTCTGGAATGAATCTAAGGTGACGCTATCTGAAGCAATGACTGCTGAGAGTTAGTCCAAGATGCTGAAGAGTAACCCCATCAGACCTGGAAGCGCTGGATTTCCCCCCCTGAGGAGGGCTGTAACAGGTAGGAACATGGGCACCTCTGTTTTGCAGATCAGCAACCTGGAGAAGGGCTCAAGCCAGGTTTTCAGCCATTCCCTCTATGAAAGAGACCTGGAGATTGGGAGGCTACGGAAAGAAAGCGAGAAGTTGAAGCGGGACCACGCTTTGGCTACAGGTATCCTATCCCTAGGGCTCAGGAGGAGCATGAAGCTGCTTGGGACTGGCTCTTGAGAATGAGTGAGCACTGGCAAATGATTTATAGTGACCCACAGAAGTCATCTGGCCTGGTTTCTGTGTCCTGAAGCTCGGTGGGAGTTGCAGATGGTGTCTGATGTGACAAGTGCCCCTGGAGCAAGGGACAGTGTGGGGATCATAGGCAGGGAGCGATGGGACCGGGCACTCTGGTAGGGGAAAACAGCCGCAAGGGCAGGCTGATGAGGGCAGGCTGAAAGCGGTGCTGTTTGAGGGCTGCCATGGACAGTGGTGGGGAGACCCGACCCCCGAGCTGCTGCAGGGCTGCATGTGGCTGCAAAGGCCACCCCAAACTAGAGGCCTTTCCCAATGGCCTGTATCCCTGCCTTTATCAGGCACAAGGAATGCAGTGGGTGCACAACAGATCAGAATCAGAAGTGTTCTGCCTGGTTGCATTGGCGGAGATGAGGGAGCAGTATGGGCTCTTGGCAGGGAGGAGGCATCAGAGACATGGATCTGACATAGCAAAGCAACAAGCACGGATCTGTAGGAGCTGCTCATCCCTCAGGGAGCACGTGCTGTGAGGCCCCAAGGAACTTGTCAGTGATGCTGTCAAAGAGCAGTGTCCAGCACAGCGTGCCAAAAGCTGGACCCACTTCCCAAGGCGGACGGTTGTTGAGGAGCGGGGAGGGATGCTCGAGGGTTTTGGCAGGGATGCACTTGGGTAACCTGTGTTCTATGTTCTCCCAGGTCTAGTGACCAGCCTGCAGAGGGAGGTTGCCGGGAAGGAGCAGAAAATCCAGCAACTCCAGCAAGAGGTTGAGAAAGTGCAGAAGGAGAACAGAGTAAAGGACAATCAGCTGGCAGTGCTTTCAGCCAAGGTTGGCAGCACTGTCTCACACAGGGGCTGACGTGGGAAAGCAGTATGAGAAGGGTCACACTTCTCCCTGTTAAGGGCTCTAGCAGCTGTATTTGCATGGGTATTTATCAGGGCAGTTGTAACCCAAGGGTCCTGGCTGTGTGCAAATGGAAGGGGCAGAGCTGTACCCCTGGCCCTGCTGTGATGGGGACCCAGAGCAGTGACACCTTCCCCAGCTGAATCCCCCTCCTTGCTCTGCATTCAGGTGCTGTGTGCCCTGGATTCCTGTGAGCACAGTAGCTGTTTGTACTCATGAAGTGCTTGTGCCAAGATCCTCCTGAGGAGCCATGGAAACCCCTTCATGTGGCTCCCTGTGGCCCAGCCTGGTTTTCCCCCTCTAAACACAGCAGGTTGTTTCTCTGTGTTTGCAGCTCTCTCCTCAGCTGGCAGAGCTGCAGCATCTGCATAATGAGTGTAGAGCAGCGCTCTGAAGATGAATGATGTGCCCTGCTTTGCTGAGGAGCAGCCTTTAACCAGTGGCAAGGGGACAGTACGCTCTTTTCACGTCACATGTGCTGGACATGTCCATAGGTGGATGTTGCTGGGTCTCTGAACTGGCTGCACTCTGTACTTAGGCAGCTCACAGTCGAATGTAAGGTCCTTTGAAGCAGATAAACAGCTTCCAGCAGGATGAGTTCGGTCCTAGATCTCTGTTCAAGCTCAGTCACCCTGAGTGCGGTGTTGTCAGTGATACCCTCGACTTCTTTGGACGCAGTACCTAAAGGGGGCTACAAGAAATCTGGAGAGGGGCTTTGGACAAGGGCCTGTAGGGACAGGACAAGGGGAATGGCTTGAACCTGCCAGAGGGGAGATTGAGATGAGCTCTGGGGCAGAAGCTCTTCCCTGTGAGGGTGCTGAGGCGCTGGCACAGGGTGCCCAGAGAAGCTGTGGCTGCCCCATCCCTGGCAGTGTTCAAGGCCAGGCTGGACACAGGGGCTTGGAGCAACCTGCTCCAGTGGAAGGTGTCCCTGCCCATGGCAGGGGTTGGAGCTGGAGGAGCTTTAAGCTCCCTTCAACACAAACCAGTCCATGATTCTTTAAGCACTCGAGCTGCCATGTGCAGCAGGGAGACCAGGTATCCCGGGTAAGCATCCTGCTTTGGTGGCCCAGGCTACTCGTGTTTAGGCAGGGAGCGTGTCCCAGAGCATCCCTCTGTGTTTTCCCTGCTCTGTGGATGCGGGAAGACCTGGAGTGAGACAGGAGCTGCACACACAGGCTTGCAGGAGAGGCAAGGCAGTGGGTGCTCCGGGAAGGCAGAATGGAACACCGATACCAAAAACTGACACAGTGATGATCAGCCTGGAAATGTCTGTAAATGTCATGTTTAGCTATGGATGTTTTGAGTTAGCATTTGTTTTCCTGCATCCTTCCCCCTGTCCCTGTTCTACTGCTTTTAAGGCCAGAGGAATTTCTCCCTGTCAGCTATGCCCTGCAGATGCTCCTCCTCCCCTCAGCTTTAATGGTGATGGGTTCATACAGGCACTTCCAGGCATATGGATACTCTTGTGCTCTGGTGTCTTGATGGCCCCATCAAGGGCACTTGGCCATTCCATTAAGATCTAAACACGGAGCTTGGCTTTAGCACTCAAGTGTCTGTTGATATTTGCTGCAGTATCTGCCTGCCCTGATGTTTTTTTCCTGTGTTGCTATTCATTCTAGTGCTCTAGAATCCGAGCGGAAATGAAGCAGGAACTTGGAAAGCAGGAAGTAGCGGCATACCGGAATGTGAGTCTGAATTCATTTGAGGTGATGGAGCACATGGGAGAGCTGCAGGAAAGCAGCATCCAGGGAATAATTAAGTGGTCATTTTAAGAAAGATGTTTTGAATCTGGTTCCTGTAATAGAAGGTGCATAATGAACTGGAGAAGTGTTAATTGTAGCACTGGATTGCAATGCAGGCGGATGCAGCCAGAAAGAAGGGTGAAATTCCACTGGAAAGTCCATCTAACTAAAGTAAACATAGGCAAGAAGGAAATTCCAGAGCACACAAAATGGGATAGATGGGGGAAATATCGGTTCAAGTCCTCCTGAGAGGCAATGCCCAGCCCCTGTGGTGAGACCCTCCACCACCATGGGACTCTTGCAGCGCATCAAGGAGCTGGAACACAACCTGGAGAGGCTGCAGGGGGAAATCCAGAAGTATTGCAGTGAGCAGGAGAGCATCCGAAGCCAGCTGGCTGAGAAAGCCAAGGTAACAGCCCGGCTGTGGGGTGTGCAGTGGAGAATGCATGTTGTGTGTGATGAGCACCAAGCCCTGGGAATGCAGCATGTATGGAGAGGGGATCCAAATGTGCAGAGCTCTGCCACAGAGCCCGAGCGGAAAAGCTAGCTGGGGTAGCAGACCATGTGGTAGGAAGTTGAGGATGGATGATGTCCAGAGGGAAAAAGTGGCTTTAAGGGTCTGATGCTTGCTGCTGCTCTCCTGGTATTGCAAAGCCATGCTTGGAGCTGGCTGGTGTGAGCAGCGTGAAGCTGGGGCAGAAGTGCTCAGGATGCGATTCTGGGGTATTGCTTTGATATGCAAATGCTCTCGTTGTTGCAGGCTGAGGAGGAGCTGAGGGAAGCTGGAGCCAGACAAGCTCTGCAGCTGCAGGAGATGGGGCGCAGGGAGCGCCTGCTGCGAGCCGACCTGGCGCGGGCCAAGCAGCAGGTAGGGATGGGAGCAGGGATGGGAGCAGCAGCAACAAAACCATGGGGTTACCCATAGGGAAGGTCACTGTGCTCCAGTGCAGGCAAAGAAATGGCATCCTGAGCACCAAACCCTGGCATGGGGCTGAGGTTGTGGTCAGATGCGGTATAACAGGCTTATCCATGGGATTTGTGTCAGCAGCGTAGGTGGTGTAATAGGACACAGAAACACACCGTACTCTGTGCAACCACAGCTATCCTGTCCAGGACCTGTGCCAACCCTCCTGTGTACCTCTGCAGTCAGAGGCAGCCCTTTGCAGAGCAACATCCTGCTGCATCACCAGGATAAAGCCGTGCTTCATGCAGGACGGAGGTGCCACCTCCCCAGTTAAACTGCAACACGGAGTTTCGCTGGCTGGAATTTGTTAGGAATCCCACTCCATGAGAGGCCCAAAAAGCTCTGAGTCGTTTGATCGCGTGTTTGGAAAATAAGCCTGGGTTTTGTGCAGAGCAGAGCACAAAGGTAGCCTCAAGCTCTTACGGGCAGATGGAGACCTTCGGGCCTGCCATGTGAGTTAGCACAGGCACAAAAAGCACTAAGCTCAGTGGGAATGGTTGTTGTCATGTCCTGCAGAGAGGCTGGGGGTGGCATCCCTAGCCTGCCCTGGCTCTTTCATAGGAGGAAATAGGGGCCAGCCGTGGGAAATCCCTGCTGGAACATGGGATGGAGCCATCTGCCTGGCACAGGCAGTCTGTCCTGTACAGTGTGGACCAGCCCCCTGGCATGGAATCCTCCCGCAGCGGTAGAAGGGCAGCAGGAGACATCAGGATATTGTCAAGGGATGTCCTGAGGAGGGCAGGCACTGGGACACCCTTGGCATTGATGGCTTGGGCAGAGCAGACCAGCAGAAGTGAGCAGTGATTTCTGTTCTCCCGTGTTGATCTGTGCTGCAGCTGGAGTCCTTCAAGACCCAAGTGGTGCGAGTCTGCTCCCCAGCAGCAGCAGGCAGCGCAGGGAAAGCCTCCACAGAGCAGCAGGTGAGTTTGGACACTGGTGCATGGAGGTGGTTGGTGTCTCCAAAGCCTGGCGTGGCTTGAGTCGGTCACAAGTGCCTGCTCCATGTGCTGGTAGCATCCAAGGCTCTCCAGGTCCTAAGCTGTTCCACAGCTGTCCCTGGTTAATGACACTGCTCTGTGATATGGAGATAGGATCCTTTTTGTCCTCCCAGCCTGGATGGAGTCAGTGGGTTCTAACAGGAGTCTGACATGGCTACCAGTGTGCAGCAAGCCTCAGTTGTTCGCTGGGACAATCTATGGTGCCTCAGGCGGAAAGGGTATTAATATAGTGTCTTGTTCTCCTCTTCCTTCTGCTTTGCCAGGTGATAGAGAAGGTCAGGCAGATCTATGATGAGAGCCAAGAGAGTCATGAGAGAGAGAAGTGTCTGCAGCAGGAAATAAGCTCCAGGCTTGCAAAGGAAAAGGAAGTGTCTGCAAATGCTGAGGTGTTCAGCAAGACCCTGCAGGAGCTCCAGGTCAGTCTGTTCAATAGTGAGGATCAACTGGCAGGACATGAGCAGCCCAAGGCATTTTTCTTGATATAGATCTCCCAAACGTGTGAGCTGGAAAGAAATATGAGATGTCGCAGAAGTGTGTCTGCCTGAGGGCCTGCCAGGAGTCATTCCCACCAAGGATGTCATAGACTGGTTTGGGTTGGAAAAGACCTTAGAGCTCCTCCAGCTCCAGCCCCTGCCACGGGCAGGGACACCTTCCACTAGAGCAGGTTGCTCCAAGCCCCTGTGTCCAACCTGGCCTTGAACACTGCCAGGGATGGGGCAGCCACAGCTTCTCTGGGCACCCTGTGCCAGCGCCTCAGCACCCTCACAGGGAAGAGCTTCTGCCTTATCTCCAACCTGAACTTCCCCTGTTTCATTTTGAACCCATCACCCCTTGTCCTGTCACTCCAGTCCCTGATGAAGGTCCCTCTCCAGCATCCTTGTAGCCCCCTTCAGACACTGGAAGCTGCTCTGAGGTCTCCACGCAGCTTCTCTTCTCCAGGCTCAACAGCCCCAATGTTCTCAGCCTGTCTCCATACGGGAGGTGCTCCAGGCCCTGCTCATCCTTGTGGCCTCCTCTGGTCTTGCTCCAGCAGGGTGGGCACACCAGAGCTGCACCCAGTGCTGCAAGTGGGGTCCCACAGAGCAGAGCAGAGGGGCAGGGTCATCTCCCTTGACCTGCTGCTCACGCTCTGGGGGTTCAGCCCAGCACAGTGGAGCCAGGTCACGTTCAGTTCCTCATTGACCAACCCACATCAACCCAGGGCTTTGTCCAGGGACGTTGCGTCCATTGCCGAGCCCCGTTGATCCAGCTTAGTCACTGGGTGCGTTTGTTCCAGGCTTGCCTGAGCAGCTCCTGCAGCAGCGCCAGCCTGCGCGGGGAGCTGGGGAAGCTGGAAGCAGCGCGCCTGGATCCCTCCATCTCCACCATCGGGGTGGCAGCAGTGGAAGTGGCACGTGTGCTCCTGTGCTGGCTGGAGGGAGCAGAGCAGCTCCTGGCTGGCGCGGGGATGGACCTGCACAAAGGTCTGTGTCCTGCTGGGGTCCCTGGGAACAAACCTGCTCCGGGAGGGATGTCCTAGCTAGCCTATAGAGGAGAGAAAGTCCAACGTGAGCTGGGCTTGGGAGTGCCAGGCCCCCACGTTGGTGCCAGTCTCAGGCAGTTTGGGCAACTAAGAAGCCAGCTCAGGCAGTGTTCGTGCTCCTATTACCTACCTCTGCAGCACTGGTCACCCAGCTTGGTGTGACCTACCCCCCCAGGGCTCTGCAGGGTTTGTCCCTGGGGTGCTGTGTCTGCATGGGCAGAGCCCATCTACTGCCATCATGGTTATGGCATCAAAGTGGGATTTGCCTTGGTGGCACATGGGAAACGCTTGTGCTGGCAGAGATCTGAACCCCTGGTCTTGAGGTTCCACGTTACTTTGTCTTCTTCCCTTTCCTAGGCCGCTGTTATAGGGCTTGGCAGAGCAATTGCATGGAGTTTGTTAGGTGAATGGTGCATGGAAAACACAGCAGCTGTGGGAGGAAAAGACCTTTAAGCTCACCGAGTCCAAGCTTTACCCCAGCACTGCCAAGGCCACCACTAACCCCTGGCACTGAGGGTTGTGAACTGTGGGTACCAGGGTGGGGATTATAGCACCAGGAGCATCATGCAGCAATGAGCCAGGCTTGGCTCTTGCAGAAGTGCTGGGCACAGAGAAGATGGGGTGACGCAGCAGGGTGGTGACAGCGTGTGACAAGAAAAACAAGTCTCTGGGTGGGAGCAGGCATCTGGGCTCTGTGCACAGCCAAGCTGCTTTCCAGCCATGTCTCAGCAATAGCAGCCATCTCCAGGGCTGGGAATGTGCTGCAGTTCCATAAGTGCAGCAGGGAAACCCTCAGCTGGTCCCAGGAACCTTTCCAAGAGAGTCTGAGCCTAAATCCCAGTGCAAGGGGCTAGGAGGGGCTCCAGACTGGGAAGGGTTGCTGGGTGCAAGGCACAACTGCTGTCCATGGGTCTCTCTGTGACACCAGCACATCCACTGCCCAAGCCTGGGAGGGAAACCCAGGCCCAGTGTGTTTCCTGGGTATCCCAGTGAGCACAGGGAATGATTCTGTGCTGATCCCTTCTCCCTGCTGCCTATGGACCTCCATCACCAGGCCAAGGGGACTGAGGGCCAGCAATGGCTGAAGTGAGTTTTGTAAGGGCGCAAGCAGCATTCCCAGGCCTCTGAGGATGCTCCAGGTCCTACCCATGGGCTGTGTGAGCACCTTGTACAGTGCACCCTTGGCTCTTGCAGGGCTGTTGGCTGCTCTCGGGACATTGGTGGAAACCAGTCAGGAAACTGCCCGGAGGAATCGGACATTACAGGTACAGATACATGTCCATACAGCGAGGTGGTTTCTGAATAGCTGAAGTCTTTGGGTCTGCAGTAAATGCAGGGGAAGGGAGAAGATGGAGCCCGCTGTCAGCATGTCAGTATCCCTGCCGTGGGGAGGATGGAGGGTTCATCCCTGTATGGAATTGGTTGTGAGTGAATAAGCAGGAGGCTTATGTCTTGCCCTGCTGCTAAGGCGCCTGCTCTAACACCTCGGTGTCTGCCGCATCCCTGTAGGCACAATTAGAGGAGGCCCAGGAGTCACAGGCAGCTTTGCTGCAGGAGCACACGAAGGAGCTGGAAGCGAAACATGAGCAAGATCTGCAGCTAAAAATCAAGCACATTCTGCTGGAGAAGGACGAGGAGAGCAAAGAGGTGCAGGGGCACTGGTGTGTCTTAGGAAAATGACTGGGATGCAAGAAGAATGGGTGTCTGTAATGGTGTTCCCTAGCAAGAGGAAGTCTTTAGCCCCGAGCTGTCTGGATGCAGCCCCAAGAGCCCAAAGTACCTGCTGGGAAGCACTGGGAAAAAGCAGAAAGCAAGGGGCACCTTAAGCTCCTTGAGCTGAGGACAGCATTGTGCTGTCTGTAGTAGATGGAATGCAAGCGCAGGTTGGCTTCCTTGCCAGCCCCTTGCTCCCTCCTTCCTCTGTGTTGAGCTGCTTTTAGCTCTGATTTGGCTGGATAAGTCTATTCCCTGTGGGGTGGGGAAACCTAGTGGGCTCCTGCTGGGTCACCCTCAGCCCAGGGAAGCCCAGCTCACCAAGTTGATGGTGCAGGCCACAGTGTTAGCCCCAGTGTAACCTGGAGCTTTGCTGTATCGTTATGGTGTGATGGGGACAGTGTGTTGTGGTGGTCTTTAAGACAGTTTCTAAGGTGCTTCTGTGTCTATCATCTCTGGAATTGCTGTTTCCCAGTTTTGGGTTCTCTAAGGAGGTGGATAAGGAGCAGCCAAGCAGCTCCTCCTTCGCCTTTGCTTTACGTCTCCATCGTCCCCTTCTTCATTGTGTTGCCTTGTTTCCTGCCAAGCTTTTCCACCACAACTTGCCCCTGCTCCAGAGCAGGGACCCTCCTGGCTGTTTTCCTCATTGGAGTCAAGGTCTTTTGCCTAATATGCGGGTTATTTTCCTGTACTAAAACCGTGGGCTGTCAATTCCCAGCTCCTGGAGAGTGCTGTTGCCGAGGAGAAGAGCAAGTGCAGGCAAGCCCTGGAGGAGGAGCAGAAGAAGATCCAAGACCTGCAGAGCCGCCTGAGGAGCATGGCTGAGGTCAGTGGCCTGCAGGGAAGGTAAAGCAGAACTGCTCACCCTTGGAATAAGTACATCTGAAAGTGCTCTGTAGCATGCTGGGCACTTGGTCAGGGGCTATCAGTGGACTGTGGGTTCCCCCCTCCCCAGATACACCTTGATGCATATCTGCAGAGAGAAAGGTAGCTCCCTGCAAGCTTGGTACCTTCATTACCTCTCGTCTCCTCATGTAGGCTATAGAAAGGAAGTCAAAGGAGCAGGAGGTTGCTGACTGCAAGCTGCAAGAAGCTGTGCAGAAGCTGGAGGAAACCACAGTGCGAGAGGTGGGTCCAACACCCTGTGTGCAGGCAGAGGACATGGCTGGATGTGGTTTCAGTGAAGGAGGCTTCTCTGGTCCCTGGTTGCAGGGAGCTGCAGCCTTCCCCCTCCCCAAAATCCTTCCCTTCCCTCTGTCTTTCTGACCACTAGCCAGGAGAGACAATGCGGATCATGATCCCAAAGGAAAACATGTGCAATGCTTCCAACCAGCATCACTCATCCTTGTTTCCTAGATGCTCTTACAGCAGCGAGTGCTGGCGCAAGACGAGCAGCTCAGGACCACTCAGGAGGAGAATGAGTTACAGAGGCAGAAACTGCAGGAAGAAATAGAGGGATATAAAGAGCAGAGCAAGCAGCACGCACTGACAGTTGTGGCTTTAGAGGAGAGGTTGCTGGAGGCCAAGGAGCAGCAGAAGACACTGGAGGAGGAACACACAGCACTTGTGGATAAAATGAAAGGTGGCCACAGCATCTGCACTGGGAACCTTCTTGGTTAATGTGAAACTGATAGAGAGGAGGCAGTACATTTGCTGCTACGGAAAGTGTCATGTATGATATTGATCTGAGGTTTGTCTATGGCAGAACATGCTCATGGAAGTCTCTGAAGCAGCTGTTTCACAGGGGGTTGCTGTATATAGGTCTGTGGCTTCGGGGACTGTCAGTAGCATGTTGTGGTCATAGACAGGGCTTTCTCACTGGAGAAGGGCTCTTTGCCCTCTAAAGCAATGAGACTTTGGGCTGTGCCCAAGCAGAAGAGATGCTGAGCAAGGAAGGATGTGAGGAACTGTCTAAGCACTGTTAGAACCAGGCCCTAGGAGGTACAGCTTCCCAAAACTGACGTTCCTCAGTCTTCCATGAAGGAAAGGATGCGCGTGTCAGAAGCAAAGCAGGCCACATGTAACTGGCCTCTGTTGCTGTGTCCTGCAGGATTTCGGGGCGACACTTGCCAGGCACCCTCAGAGGCTTGGCTGGAGGCTTGTCCTGCTGCAGAGTCGCACGGCTGCCTGCGGTAAGCAGCGCTTGCTGGTGGTGCCTTGTTCAGAGGGGCCTGGAGAAGAGCAGTTACCCCCAGGAGAGCTTAGGAGAAGCTGAGGGAGGTGACTGCAGCTTGTCCTGAGCTCTTACTTGAGTGTGATTCTCTTCCTCAGGAAGCTCAGGGAGGAGCTGGTCGTGGCACAGAACACGCTGCTGTCCAAGGAGGCTGCCATCACTGTGCTAACCAAAGAGCTTGGGGAAACCAGAGCCAGGCTGACAGACGTGAGAGGTGGGTGAAGCATGGTTTACATCTTCCCACCCTCTTCTGAGCATTAGCAAGGTGGACTCATGCAGGTAATGGGAAATTGGTGTTGCCACCCTCAAGCAACACTGTTGTGATCCATTCCCTTTGGGTTGGTGAGTTCCTCCCTGTCCTTGGCTAAGTGATAGTGGTGATGGTGCGTGAAGGTAACCGGGTGGAGATGGGTGGGAAAAACTGAGGCATCTTCCTCAAAACATCATTAGTGAGCTCCTTTGAGCCTAGGACACCCAAAGCCTTGCCTGGGACTCCTCAGTGGGCACCATGTGCCTTAGGGAGGCTGCTGCTCTGCAATCTGAAGGGAAATAGCTATACCAAGTGATTGCTCTGGCCTGTGTCCATGCAAAGGGACTGGCTGTGCAGTGACTTAATAAAGCAAGGTCTAAGTGGACACATCCATGAACGTGGTTTCACCAAGAACTGCAGATGCCCCAGGGCTGGGTGATGCGACAGCCAGAAATCCCTAAAGCTGTTGTATCCCAGGGGAGCTGAGTGAGGAGCGGAAGGTGGAACTGGAGCAGAACCTGAGCCGGCTGAAACACCAAGAACAGGAACTGAACCTGCTGCGAGAGAAGCTATTCGGGATGTCCAGCCTGGTGGAGAAGAAAGATCAAGCCCTGAAAGCAGCCACCGAGGAGTTAAGGTGCACGATGCTGTGACTGGATGCTTTGCAAAAGCTGTTCTGTAGATTCCCAGTGGCTGGTGGCATTTAGGTATCTCCTGAGATGCAAAAAGCACGTAGGAGTGAGAGCATTGGAATGGAGCAATGTTGTCTCTATGGAACTGCCATGTGAACTGAAACAGGGCTTTAGTGGAGCTCGTGCTGGTGGACGTGTAACTAAGTCACTTGTAACCAAGTGAATGTTCCCACTCACACCATGGTAGTCACTGGTGGTGCTGCTCTCTGCAAGCTGCTTGGGCAGCCTTCATCTGTCAGGGTGTCCCACAATGGTCTTGTCTCTTGGCACAGACAAGCCCAAGCCCAGTGCCAGGAGCTGAAGGATGCCCACGAAATGGCAGAGAAGCCAGAGGCTGCTCCTGGGACACCAGCACAGGCGGGAGAAGCTTCTGAGCAGGTAAGTGCATACAGAGGCTGCCAGGTCTGGGTTTGCTGGGAGCAGCAATAGTGCATGGTGTTTCCCAGCATCACAGAATCAGTTGGGTTGGAAAAGACCCTTAAGCTCATCAAGTCCAACCGTTCCCAGCAGTGCCAAGGCCACCACTAACCCCTGGCACTGAGGCCTCGGCTACACGGGCTATGAACACTTCAGGGACGGTGACTCCAGCCCTGCCCTGGGCAGCCTGTTCCAATGCCTGAGCACCCTCTGGGCAAGGAATTGTTCCTCAGCTCCATCTAAACCTGCCCTGGGGCAGCTTGAGGCCGTTTCCTCTTGTCCCATCCCTTGTTCCTTGGGAGCAGAGGCTGACCCCACCTCACTACAACCTCCTGGCAGGTAGTTTGTAGAGAGTCACAGGGTCTCTGACCAGCCTCACCCCTGCTCAGAGCTGGTGCAGGATCTCTGGCCACCCTTTCCCTAGCCAAGGGCTGCAGATGCTGCAGTTTTGCTGCTGGCTGATGAGCTGATGTTTGCACAGCACTTTGGAACCGGGAAGCGGGGTGTGTGTGCTTATGGTGCTATAATTGCCAATTAGGAGGGATAGCAGCGTGCATGCGGAACGAGCTGCAAGCGCTGCCTGCTGTTCCCTTGCTGAGCACTAGATGCTGGCTCTATCCGGGACATCCCCGGTGCTAGGGAAGGAGGAACAGAAAGGTGTTTGCAGCAGCAGATGGAGGGACTGTAGAACGGTACATCCTGTACCACAGCAGTGGCAGACAGCGTGCCAGCAGGCAGGGCTGGCAGCGTGGGGGCCAAGCAGTGACTCAGAGCCAGCTGACAAGCAGGAGGCATCGCTGTCCTGTTCCGCACATGGTGATGGGAAGCGTTGGAGGTGCGGCCCAGACAAAGCCGTGGCTCGGGAATAAGCCACCTCTCACTAAGCAGTACCACAAGGCAGCAGCAGCCAGACCTGAGCGGGCAGTTTGCAGGCATCAATAGCTGTGTGCAGGGCACGACAAGTCTGCCCCGTCCCAGGTTTTGGGATATTCATCATCGTGCCGCAAGCTGGATGGGGCTGGAATGGGGAAATCATAGAAACAACTGGGTTGTAAAAGACCTTTAACCTCATCAAGTCCACCCTTTACCCCAGCCCTGCCAAGGCCACCACTAACCCCTGGCACTGAGGCCTCGGCTACATGGGGTGTGAACACTTGCAGGGACGGTGACTCCAGCCCTGCCCTGGGCAGCCTGTTCCAATGCCTGAGCACCCTCTGGGCAAGGAATTGTTCCTCAGCTCCAGCTAAACCTGCCCTGGGGCAGCTTGAGGCCGTTTCCTCTTGTCCCATCCCTTGTCCCTTGGGCGCAGAGAGCAGCCCCCTCCTGGCTCCATCCTCCTGTCAGGCAGTTGCAGAGAGCGATCAGGTCCCCCCTGAGCCTTCTCTTCTCCACACTAAACCCCCAGGTCCCTCAGCCCTTCCCCATCACACTTGTGCTCCAGGCCCTGCACCAGCTCCGGTGCCCTTCTCTGGCCCCGCTCCAGCACCTCAATGTCTCTCTTGCCATGAGGGGCCCAGAACTGAAATGCGTGTGTCTGTGTGCATGGGTCCAGTCTAAAAACAAGTAATGCCCGAGACAATGCATAAATGCAGGCTGCAGAGTGGGTCAGAATGTGTGCACTGAAAAAAATGAAGGCAAAGCCAAAGAGGCAAATGCTGACAATGGCCATTCAGAGCTTTGCACCATCCCTCTCCGGGCTCTCTGGAGCATTTTCAGGGCTTATGCCCTTAGCAGGGTGTGAAAGGGGTCTTGGATGCTGCTCTTGTACCCACAAGTCCACCGGGCGGGTGTAGGGTGAGATGCTCTGTGCTTTGCCCTAAGTGACCGGTGCCTGTCAGCAAGGCTGCGTTTAAGCCAGGTTTAAGCTGAGCTCGTGTTGAGCCAGATCAGTGTGAGCGAGAACCGGCTGCTCTGCCTCTTCCAGGAGCCAGCGCTGGACTTGGCCGACCTCGGCGTGAGATGCCGAGGCCTCAGACATGAGGAGACGATCCAGCGCCAGAGGGAAGGCTTGGCCGATCTCCGGGAGAGGGTGAAGGTGCTGGAGAAGAGGCAGTCCTCAGGTAAGGGAGATGCATCCATCTGGGAGCAGGCGGCTGGTGGAGGGGTTTGGAGGCAGAAGGTGGGAGCAAGCAGGCGCCTGGCGATGAGCACATCCACTCTGTGCTCGGGTGCTGCTCTGCTCAAGGCGAGAGCGGTTATCACCCAAAGGAGCTGAGCCCTGGGTGTTGTGGTCTTGCAAGTGCTGGATGTTGTGAGAGCTTCCTGCCTGCCCCAAACTCATTTTCTCTCAGCCCCTTTCCATCGCCTGTATCCCTGTATTGAGAGCACTATGGTAAAGCAGCACTGCCCCAGCTGTTTGTGGTGTGGGTGCCAAATGGCCATCTGCAAAATAGGCTGGGGAAGGCGGTGGCCAAACTCTGCAATAGCCGTGGCTGCAGGGAAAGCTGGTGCAGGCTCAGCTCCAGGGCCCATGCATCTCTCCATGCACAGTCACCGTACGAGAAAACCTGGCAAGCCCCAAAAGCAGCTGAGATATGAAGCCTCAGCATGTCATACAGAAAGTAGGACAACTCAGTGGCTGTTCTTTTACCTCCAGCTGCCATGGTGAAGGGTTCAGGGCCACTGGTGGTCCTGACAAGAGACTTAGCAGAGGAAATAGTCCAGAGACCAGGTCATGAGAAGGAACCTGCACCCATGTCAGGACCAAATCTGAAGGCCAGCAAGGTAAGGAGGCAGTTTGTGGTTCCTGGTGCTTGGGGTTTAGTTGGAGAAGTGTTCTCTGTAATAGGGACACTTCAGCTTTTGAATATCCCGAGAAAAGGGGATAGAGGGAGATGGAAAATCTGGCAGCATTTGAGTGCTCAACCCAAAGCCAAGCATTCCATGGGCTCCATTGCTCTCTCCCTGTTTGTGCAGGTTCCTGGCTGCTTTGCTAATGCGGGCTCACACGGGGCAGCGAGGTGGGAGATGGGCGACACGACAGACTTTGGTGAGAAGATGGTACGTCAGTGATGGACATGTTGAAATGGTGCCTGGTGCTTGAGAGTGTGGGTTGTCCTCAAACACGTTTCAGATGCAAGTGATGGGCATCCACAGGAGCGTGGTCGAGGAGGAAATGTGTATCACAGGAGGCGCTGGGTGCCTGGCAGGACATCTTGGTACCCAGCACATGCAATGGTGCCCCCGAGGTCTTTGGGGGTGTTACCTTGGGCAGTGAGGGCTGATGTTCAAGGAGAGGTGGGGTTGGTGAGGAGAGAAACCTTTGCTAACCTAGATGCTTGCTAAATGATGTGAGAGAGGCTGAGGAGCGATGATGGATGCTGGAGGAGGTGTGTGTTGGTAGCACAGGGGGTGTGTTATGCAAGTGGGTCTCTTCCCACTGAAAAGGGCAGGAAAATGACCAGCAGGGAAAATGGATCATCTTGAAAAAGGAAAAAATCCAACCCCAAGGAGTTGTACAGCTGGGAGTCAAATCCCATGCTGGGCCGGAGCTGGGAATCAAATCCCAGGCTGGGAAATGCTCCGGTGTGGCATGTCACATCCTGAGTGCCTCCAAGCACACAGCCTGAAGGAACCACAGCCAGGAATGGGTTTAGGAGCACTCAGCAAAGGTTGCAGAAGGGAAGCACACCCTGGAATGAAACACAGGGAAGCAAACAGCACGTTCCATGTGGCACTGGCATCTCCTGAGCTGGGCAGGATGGAAGCAGATGGCTGAGCGGTGGGATGCAGCAGAGTGGAGGAGTTGTCAGGGCAAGGAAATGATGCACTCCCTGTTCTTCCTGCAGTACCTGGATGCAATCAGTGCCTTGGGAAGCCTGATGAAGGTGAAGGAGCTGTCGGGAGTGCAGTCTTTGAAGCACCTTCCCCCAGAGGAGAGGGGAAAAGCAGGGCTGCAGAGACAGAAGGCCCTGGAGCTGCTCTGTGATAAGATCAGGAACCTCAAGAGTCGCCTGGAAAGGAATGAGGAAAAGCTGAAAGAATACGAGGGCAGAGTGGAGCAGCTGAGGTACTGAGAGGCGAGGTGACATTGCCAGCCATGGGGCAGAGCGACACCTCGTCCTGGGGTGCCAAGGGACAGGGAGCTCGGGGAAAGGAGCAGTCTGGTGTCAATGGTGTTCATATGAAACAAGAGGTCTATTAGTGCTGACACAGCCACCCAGAGCCCATTTCTGGGCTCATATGCTGACGCCATGAAGAGGCAGCATCTTGGTCTCAACAAAGGTGGGAGCAGAGGTGGTTTTCCATGGTGCAAGCAGGGAAGCACCATGGAAGCAGGGAAAACACCTGCTAAAGCGCCTGCAGGTCCTGGTGATGTGTTAGGTGCTCTGATGTCCTTGGGCATCACACCATGGAGGGTGGGATGGTCCTAGGAGGGACTCCAGCATGACATGGTTTTGCTTGGAAGCTGTTGCTCCCAGGCAGAGCCTGGCTTTGGGGGGTTGATGCAGGTGATGACTTGTCCCCCCCCGTTGTGCGCAGGCTAAACCAGGCATCCCTGAAGAGGTGCCAGGAGGAGGTGTCCAAGCTAGAAGAGGAAGCCTACAGGGAGGCAGAAGAGAAGGCGCTGCTGCAGGAGGCTCTGGAGAGGACACAGCTCCAGTTGAACCAGGAGAAGAGGCTGCAGCGAGCAGCCAAGCTGCACAAGGGAAGACCACGGGAGCAGGTGAGCAAGGCCCATGAGGACGACTCAAAGGTCCCAGTGCCTGGGTGTCCAAAGGCAGGTCACAGTGGTCAGCAACCACCTCCAAGCTGGGTGAGGTGCTCTGATGATAGAGGAAGGTGTGAGGGATGGCCAGCACAGCCAGAACACTCAACTGTTGGTTAGATGCCCAAGGCAAGCCCTGCAGGTAGAAGGGATGTGACACTGGTGTTATCCACAGCCTTTTGCAGAGGTTGGAAGGTGTGATGCTCTCTGGTCACTCAGCTGCACACAACAGAGGTAAGGAGGGTGAGTGAGCTGTCCATTGCCTCAGGAGATGTCTCACCTCATGGGTGTAGATGCATGATGTTGCACCCTGAAATGAGCACTCTGGAGGCATTTGGTGAATGAAAAGTGAGGGTTGGGGTGAGAGATCCATGGGGCTGGAAGGTGCAAGAGTTGCTGGTTCTGGGGATGCCTCTCTCATGTGGGGCACGTCGTGGGGTGCTTGCTGCAGCCAGGAAGGTGAAGGAGCCCAGTGTGCTGTCTCATCAGAAGCTGTGAGCCCTATGTAATGTGCTTCCCCAGCTCTTGTGACCCATTAGGAATGCACAGTGTCCTGGCTGTGGGTGGCTGTGCCCTGCTGCCGCCTCATCCGGGCAGGTGCCAAGCAAAGAGCTGGATGCTCCATGTGATACCCAACTCCCGCACTTCATGCAGCAGTCATCAGGGACCTGGGATTCTGTGGTTCATCTGACCATCCTAAGAGGCTGGACGTCCCAGGGCCCCACTGCTTACCTGCATGGCAGCATTCCCACTGCTGGAGATGGAGGGCAACATGCATGTAGCTGTATCGAGGGGTCTGGGCCATGAACATGGTGTTGATGTCTCTCTGTTCTGCAGCCTGGAACCAAGAAGCCTTTCTGCTCAGGCAAGCTGAAGGCCAAAGAGCACACAGCAGAAGCTGTCAAGATGGGAAGTGCATAGGAGAGGCACCACATGGGCCTTTGGTACGTGAAGGTCTGCAGTGGGAGAGGGTCATCATGCTGTGGTCTCCCTGTCAGATGTGGTACAAGGCATTTTGAGGAGTCCCTGTTGGAATCCCATAGCTCCAGGGCATGCTGGTGTGTAGGACCTTATTTTCCTGCAGTAGGGGTCCCATGGTGTGTGATGGGACCTATGGCAGTAGAAAAGGTGGTGTGGATATAACTCATTGTGTAGACTCTGTGTGTATAGATATGTGTGTGTGAATAGAGCCCAGTTATAGACTATATGAGTGAAGTCAGCCGTGTGGGTCCTGTCCTGGTGCTGCTGAAGCAGCCTTGCTGCACAGCCCACATTGTCCCTTGCTCTTCCACCTCCTGTGGCCTCCTGTGGTGCCATGGGGAGCTGGATGGAGCATCAGGCACGATGCAGAATGGAATCACAGGAGTGCGTCACTGACTGGAGCACAGTGAGTGTCCCTGTACCAGTGGAAGGGAAGAAAAGGAGCAGCCCCCGTTTTCCAAGGAGCAGTGGTGTTCTGGGGGAAATTGGGCAGCTCCAGCACTCGCTGGGCCTGTGGCCGCTTTGCTTTGCTCAGAGCAGCCTATGCAGAGTCCTCTGCGGATCTCTCCAGCCGAGGATAACGTGGATGTGAGCACAGCCCCTTCAGGGTTTTGTTGGTATTTGTAATAGAAGACAGAGTTTGGGAAGCAGCACAGAGGGGCTGAGGCAGGAATCATACTGTTCGTGGAGCTGCTGCTGAGCACCCATGGGCACACTGTGGCTGATGCCTAATTTGTGGTGTACATTATGTGGTTGGTGGCTGAGCAGCAGGGCTCTGACCACGGCTGTTTTCCCCCTGATGTGCTGTGGGCTTCCAGCTGCTGGCCTGGGTTGATTGTGGGACAAGGAATGACCTGGTTCTCCTGTGTAGGTTCACAGAATCACTAGGGTTGGAGGGACCTCTGGAGATCACCCAGTGCAACCCCTGCCAAGGCAGGGCCACCCAGAGCAGGGCACACAGGAACGTGTCCAGGTACCACTGGAAAGAGTCTGGCACCATCCTCCTGGCACCCGCCTTTGAGCTATTGATGTGCATTGATGAGACCCCCCCTGCCGCTCTCCTCCTGACTAACCAGGCCCCGCTCCCACAGTCTCTCCTCAGGAGAGAGATGCTCCAGACCCCAGAGCATCCTTGTGGCCTTCACTGGACCCTCTCCAGTAGCTCCTTGTCTCGTACTGAGGAGCCCAGCACTGGACACAAGGTTGACCATTCCCGGAGGGGCTGTGCTGCGGGAATCTCCTGCGGGTTTGCCTGGTGGGGTCGGGCTGCTCCATGAATCCCGATGCCGAACCCCCGGGAGCTGATGGATGGAGCTGGATGGAGCCTCCTCCCCTCTGCTGCTCCCCGGACATCGCTCCTGCACCCCCGGGCGCTCCCGATGGGGGCCGGCGGAGGC